CCTCAGGCGCCAACAATCCGAACCACGGCCTAGCATCTCTTATATTTCATAGTTAATCAATAAGATAAGAATAGTAATAAGAGTAGCATTATAGATGTATTTTAGATTGCAAAGCTAAAGGTTTCGGAAAAAAATAATGTAAAACCTTTGGAGTGGTAGAAGATAATGGAAAGGGACAACTAATCACTATGCTATGTATTGTAAAGACCGCCGGTGGAATAATTATTTTAAAGGTATAAATAAATAAACATCATAAGGGCTCACATCTGGCGGTACCTGAGCGAGGGTAACGACCCACGAGGACAACCTTTTGTAAGTGGTAATAAAAACCCTTAAGAACCACCGACCAAGACCGACAACTGAGTGTTTAAACAGGATCCCGAAAGACCTTTCACACCTTCCACCAGAAATACGTAAATCTGTACCTGCTGCTTTACCTTGGCCTGGGGGAGAGGGCGTGGTCATCCCTTAGGCTAGGAATATTCAGCCAATCAGGAAAAGACTACCAAAAGAGAGGGGGATGAAGAAAGGTGGGAAATAGAGATAGGACTGACGACTTCTTTTTGGGACTCAGCTGAGGAGACTCAAGCTGGGAAGGAAGCGAGGAAGGACTTGATCAGGAGAAGCGGAGAGAGGAAGATATGGACTGATAGCTGGGACTCAGGCTAGAAGACAGCCGGAGGGAGCAAGATGAAGACTTGAAGACCAGATCGACGGAGCTTCCAGAGAGGTAGCCAGAACAGCTAGAGATAACGACAACACCCCTCACCAGCTAGGTAATAACCCTCATTTAGTTATACAGATGTAAATTTGTGTTGGCAACCATAAATCATTAATTAATAAAATCAATAGAACACATGTAACTCTAATCAAGCATTTCCTCTAGTATGATTCTCAACTATTATTATGTATATAGATTTAGTTATTATTTTGTATATAGATGTTTTTGATTGTTGAAGTTAATAAATATATTCGTTAGTAAACCATCTTAGTACTTTTACCATCTACCCTGTATGCCACCAATTAGATATAGAAACAAATAGTAAATTTAAAAACATGATACCTTTAGAAAAGAAATCCAATAAAAATTATATGGTTCAATCTAGGATACTACAGTAGGGGGTCTGTGGTATCTAACATTTCAATACAAATATAAGTATTAAATACATTTAATACAAATAAATGCGGTTCCTGGAACCCCTACTCGCCGTAGAAACGCGAGGCCAGGAACATAGCAACTAATACTTAATTGTAGTAATTAATAATTACCACATTCATATACTTAATAAAAAAAAATGTTTCCATGGAATCTAAATGGCATTTCAAAAGAAACTCAATGTAAACTTTAAAAATTTGTTAATACCACAAATAAATAGTATACAAGATTATTGTATTTATATCCATTGTCATTTGTTTATGGTTTAAGTATAATATTTTTTATAAGCTATTGAACATTGATGTATGATGCTTTCAAGTGCACCATTCCTGATTACTCAACTAAAAGCATGACAAATATTACTCAGAATAATTTTCTTGTCAAATAAGCCAATACCCTTAACTAAGAAAGTCGATAACACGAGTTGCTAAAATGCTGAAAGCCAAATTTTACCAGAAAACATTATGTAGTCTGGCAACTTTATAAAATGGCGCCTATCAAAAGTGCCATCGCGTAATAATGTAAATTCGCGTTTTTTGTGTCCAATAGTACACAATTTATTTCAAGAAAAATCGAAACTAATCGCAAAAATCTATGCTTGCCGAAATTTGGATGAAGCAAACCCCTTAAAAATAGAATTGCTACTTTTACCAATCAAATTAATTATTCTTGAAGCCAAATATTGCAGATCCTTAACCGAGTGAATAACTTCGATTAAGATTCTTTTTTTAAGGTAAAAAAGAAATAAATTAATTCGCGCATCTTGAGAAAAATTGTTTTTTTTTACATCTTAGGTAAGTTCTTAAAACTTTATGGTGCTCAATTTGTATAATTTAAGACAAAATTATTTATTAATTTTGTAAATAGGATTCGACTCAATTTTCATGAAGTGGTTTATTTTAATACAGTTTGTCATTTACTGAAATGTTATTTCAATATAGGACATGAAGGAAAATATGAAATTACGATAGGTAAGTTTTAGACAAATGTTCCTGTTTGTTCTGGTTCGGTTTTTTTTTTTTAATAGCTAAGCTTCTATATGTGTTTCCCGAATAATTATTGCAACAGCCTGCTGTGAACTTTAATATCTGGTGAATTTTAAGTGATAATGTTTTTAAGGATTATTTACAAAGATATCCAATAATAGGGAACATGAAGGAAGTATAATTATGTTATCAATCAGTTCTACTTCACGAAACATACTAGCTGTTGAATCTATATTATAAAAATTATTTGTTAGAAAGTATCAGATAATTTTGTTTCTATTGACTTTACAGAGCTTGTAGATGTTTGGCCCATCTTTAACAACTTTTTTTGGTTTGTCTTGTATTTAATCCGGACGTGAGGCACGATATTTTCCCATATGGTACAAATACTTGGTTACGCCGACATAGCTGCAAGGTCTCGGCCAGAGTTAGAAGAAGCATTCCTTAACCATATGAGGGCAGCTTCAACCATTGGTCTTCTTGTGAATGAAGCCAAAACTAAGTATTTATACACAGAAGGTGGAGGAGATCTGAAGTTTATTATTGCCTCTTACACTTTTGAAAGGGTAACGGAGATCACTTACCTTGTATGCCACGTGACATCTTCAAATGATACGTCAGCGAAAATACAGAAAAGATTGTCCGCTGCAAATCGGTGCTACTTTAGATCAAACAAACGGAGTCCTAGAGGGCACAAGAAACTTCTTAGAGATCATTAGCAGGAAGGCGGCAGCACAGGACAGAGCCGAATGGCGAAAGCTTATTGAGGATGCCTAAGACTAACTCAGAACACTAGCGGATTCAGAATTAAATTTGGGAGGGGCCTCAGCCCGGTAGATTTTTTTTTTCATATACATAACGATAATTAATTTGAAAAAAAAGGATTTAAATGCAAACTATGTATTTGTATACATAATTGTATTTTCAGAAGTGACAAAAAAAATTAAGAATTGAGGATATCCTGAAAGTTGCTAGAAAAAAAAACAATAATAATAAAATCACGGTTTATTTAAATTATAATTTAAATTTACATAATAGTTTAAAAGACCGGTTGTTTACATGTTTAAAAAACAATTATAATATGTACATTTATATATATTTATTTATTTTTTGATTAATTAATATAAACATAGAAAAATAATTAATAAACTATGAATACAGAAATAAATGATTAAATTATTTATTAATTATTTTACATTACTGACAAGGGTTCTGAAAAGTTTTTAAATGCTAACCACGCTGATACTTCATTAAAATCGATTTTTGCTTTTATTTACCCATAAATGAAACACCGCAAGGGAAAATCATGAAACCTTTCGAATCCGAATTTTCAAAGGAAATACTTGTTTTAAGAGTCCCAATAACAAAGTTTCACAAAAAGGTCTGAGTATGGATCCGTTTGTATGTCGTGTGTTAAAGTGAACAGCATAGCCTACAAATAACAAACGGCACTGAAATTACATATTTAAATTAGGTATATGATTGGAATGTTATAGCACCTTTTTTTGCTAAAATTTGCTACCAGAAGTGGCATTTTATATAATCGATTTTATAATTCTCTAAAAAACTAACAAATTTTAAATAAATAAACTTTGAGGGGTTTAAAGAGTTAGAAAAATATGAAAATATATATAAATTCTGTTTCCGCTAATGATGATCTTTTCAACCTTACATAATTACATAATACATAAATGCATAATATACAGACCACATAATTTTTGAAATTTTGAAAGAACTATTTTTTATTTTTCGTAAATTTTGCTCTCGAGGATCAATTTTACGGTAAAAGTTGCACTTTACTTGTATAAAGTGGATTAAATTTGGTATAAACTAATACCAATTTTGTTTCTGTAGATTCAATACTTTCTGAATAATGGATACTGAACTTTTTAGCCAATTTGACAAGAAACCTATATTACGGCGAATGTAACTATATTCTTTTTTAAAGTATAGTAAATTTGTATCTAATTGTAAATAGGATAGATCCATTTGGGTCTCTGTAGACTAGAATGTGTGAGGCATACATTGATCGAAAATATTATGTAATTATATTTTCAAATAAGATAATTGTATTCTTTGAGGGTGTCTATTTAGTATCATACACTAGAAAGGAAATATCCTCTCAATTGATATCAGTTGCTCTTTTTATCACTCCGGGTAATTTTTCTTGAAATAACTGTTTTTATTTTATTTTTTTACCAGATATAATTTCATATTATCTAATTTGTAAACAAATGATTTATTTGATATTTCAGCAATTGCCATATTATTTCCATAATTTTAAAATAGACAGATTTGAATCTAACACCAGGTGAATACGCATTAGCTCTATCAGAAAAACGTGTTAGTACGATTTTTTCTCTAGTGAGTGGTAAATACGCCTGCACTAAATTCAGGATACCACCGCATTTCTTCCTTAATTTTTTTTTTAATAAGAAAGAAACAAGTGGTTTGTTTGGTTGTTCGGAGGAGGGTGACGAATGGGTGTTGGAAGAAGAAATTGAAAAATTGTACTGTATTAAAGTCAAATTATAAATACTTAATTCTATTTTCCAATGTCAATCTGGTATAAGCTTGTTTCTATGAGTTTCTATAAGTTTCTGTGATTTGCAGGGATAAGTATTTATGCTATGAACTATATATGTCATATGTAATGAAATTAATTATTTCCAGTCTATAAACGAAGAAAACTAGTTTTTCTTCCCTCTAAGGCAGGAAATCAATAGTATTTGAATTTACGTATGTAAGTTTCTTTAATTAGATCGTATTGATTTCATATTTCTTACGTTTTCAACTTCCTCATAATTAATGATAATATAATATCTCAGGAAAGTTTAGTATTTTGTTGATTGGAAACTTGAAAATCAAAAAACAATATTATATTTTGGGAATCAATTTTGAATAACTTCGTGTTTTTCCCCTACGTTGTTTTGAAGCCGGTAAGCGTTTGCGCAGGCGCCGTGAGCCTTTTAGTTCCCTCCCTCTTCTATTTCTGTAACAAGTTGTCATTCATTAAGAGGCTCGAAGTTAGGTTGTATGTGAAATTTTTGTTCTGCCGGATTTTTTTTTTTTTTTAACAATACCTCTTGTTGCATTCTGTTGTTCTTGAGTGATGCTATAATTTTCGACTGATATTATTACAGGTTAATGATACTAAATTTATATTATTTTAGTTAGCACATAGATTCTATCCTGTCTTATCAAGTAATTTGAAAGTTGTGATTGACTTGATAGTATGTAATTTATTTAAATTTATTAAAGTATGTATGACTTTCCTATACATTAGCTTTCTTTTACTTAACTTTTGTTTTCCTTTGATATTCCAACTTATATTTAGCTACTCCTTAACATATATTTCAGTTAAGTTAAATTTTAAATATAATTTTCTCCATCCTAAACAACTTACTCAATTTTAGATATGTTCCTACCAATGTTTACATTAAACCATTAGTATTCTTTTTTCAAATTAAATTCACTAGCTACCTGAGTCGTTAATGAGTTTTGTCATGATTTATAGAATGGCTGCTTCTGGCGATGCTGGAAATTCATCTAAAACCTATGATACTGAAAATCCTCCTCGACCTGGACTGATTTACTTCCCCTGTGAGTATTTTTGAAATTTTTATTCTTCCAGTTGATTTTTCTCAGATTTGTTTATGTGTAAACATTGACTTTTGCAAATTTAATGATAGCAGAAATGTTTTGTGGTTTGTATTCATAGTTGTCATTAATAATGAATGAGACAACTCGTTTTCTCTTTAGCTACTGATTTTTTATTTCCTTTGTAATTAACGTTTTTATTATTGCTGGTTCTATGTATAACAGTATAATTTATTAACTATCCTTGGTTAAATTATAAATATTTATTTAAAAAATATTAATTCTGTAAGATTGTTACTCATTTTAGTGCAACAGGTGCTTCTTTGAAGCACTACACCATACTTCATATGCAATAAGTAATATCTAAATGGTATTACTTATTTTATAAACCTCATAAAAAAAGGATTAATGCATTTTCTACAAGCTTTTTAGTGCCCAATCTGCCAGTTTTTTTGATTAGGAAAAAAAGTATTGTCGATAATTCAGATATTTATATATGTAAATGGATTTTCATTAAAATTTTACTTGTATTTTCATTGAATGAAAAAAGTTTTTAAGCTATATCACAAAACATGACTGTAAATATTAATTCATGGACGTTTAACCTTAAACCATATTGAATTGATTTTTAAAAATTAAAAATAGTATTTATCCATATATGGTCATAAACCATAAGTTTATTAGTCAGTTACATGTAGTAAGTAACATTGTAATATTTGGTGGATGGCAAAAGTTTTGTCATTGGAAGCTTTTTAAAGTGTTTAGAATATTTAATATTATATTATATATGTAATATTTCATTTAATAATTTTCAAATGGCAAACTAATGTCAATCAATTAAAAATTTTAGTTGATCAAGTTTTGTAATTAAATTTTACTAGAATTCCGAAAACATACAAATTATTTTAATTTAGTCATTGCCAACACTCTAAATGTGGCCTTTCACGATCACTTTAAATAAAGCAATGAACGGAGTTCTTGAATTGAAGACAGTTTCAAGGGTCCCATTAACAATCACTCCATTCCAGTTTTTACTGACAAATCGTGATTCACGCTTATATAGTCCAGTTTTGTAACTATTTCTAATTTATTATGAAAATTACATTAACAGTTAGAAAAGTGGAATTAGCAATTTTTTTAATGTTATTAAAAACTAATTAATAAAATATCAGACCTCTTTTAATTAAAATGGAAAACATTAATATGGACATTTTATATTTACAGGCTTCATTTTTTTTATGTATAGATCCATATAATTCTTGATGTAATCTTTTCTTATTAATTAAAAATAATAGTTGAAATTTTAAGTTTGTATTATAAATAATAAATCCACTTAAAATATATAGTTCTGTTTGAGTAGTATTTATATTTTTTAACAAGACTAATAGTAAACAAATAATTAAAATTTTTAGTTATGCCTAATTAACATTTTTGTAACGTTGATGAAATTTCTAATAACATAAATATTAATAACACAGCATTGCCTTACTACCAGTCATCAGTTCAAAAACTAAGTAAAGAACTGTTCAATCGTTACACTTCATAAGTTTCTCACACTAACAGTGCTTTGGAGTTATTAAATTCGATGGGGCGCGATGAAGTTCAGAACTGATGTAATTCCAGCACTTCAAAAAAACCCACATATGATTTAACACTAACAGTCGTTCCATGTTCCGTTTGCCTTGGAGTGCTTATCATTGACCAGATTAAGGGACAATGTAAAAACAATAATATAAATAAATGAATTATTTACACTTTAGTATGCATTTATATTTTCTTTCGAATCATGTCATTATTTTTGTATTATTGCTAGTTTTTCTGGACTTTCTATAAGTTCTGTACTCTAAATTGTCAAATGAAATTCCAAACATATTTTATTATTCAAGGGAAGCTTTTTGAGTTATATTTGTTTATTAATAGATTTTGGTTCTTACTAAAGATGTTTGTAGTTCAACCTTGAAATAGCCAATATTTTATTATATTATAATAGTTTTAGTTTGAAATTTAATACCTATTTGATTTGCCTTTAATTAGAAATTATTAATACTTAATAGATTTTGTTATTTATGTTTTAATATTTTCTTAATCTCTTTCAATTTTAAAGGTATATATCATTTTGTTCAATTTATAATGTTAATCTGTATTTTATCAAATTTTATTTATTTATCTATATTTTTTAAGAACTTTGTTTTGTTCAAAATATGAGAATACTCTTACAAGGAAGACGGTTTGACTTGAAATTATTATTAATTAAAAACTATTGCTTGTTTCTTTTTGTTTTGTTCTTTTAATTTGACATATGGGCCAAGTAGAAGAAGAAATGAAATATTAGGTAAATAGTAATTATTTAATCTTATGGGCACATTACATTTTTTATTACAATCTGTTTATATTTTTAATTTTGTGAAAATGAGTTCCGTTACAAAAAATGAATTTTTTCATTTGAATGAATAGTTCCATTCCCCTTCAGACCATAATTATTTTGTACATTTATTCTGGTTTGGATTATCTTGATTTGCTGCATTCATCTTCATCTATTACGGGCATAATAAGTGGAAATCAATTTTTTAGGAATCTGTTATGGCATAAGGTTCCCATGGGAATCCACTGAGATAATTTAGTACTATCCAAACCTGAGCTGGTTTGGCAATGCTTTTATTTATAATATCTTCTCTCATACATTTATGTGAGTTTTTAATTTACAAATTAAGTGTTTATTGGTAAATAAAAACGATCACCCGTTCTTCCTTTGTTAAACAAAATTTGATGCTTATTTTTAATGTACTTTCCTTCGGCTTTCATTTAATTTTTAATGCTGATACCTCAACCACATCTTTCATTCTCGATTCCGTAGGTATTTGTATAGTAACTTTCAATCATTTCTTTAAGTCCTAAACCTGCATATCATGTTCATAAGTATCTTTTCCTTTTTGTGATTAATGTTTTTTGGGGGTTTAACATATATAGCTGTTTCTCATCTATGATATAGATCAGTAATGGTGGAGAGTATCTCACTGAACAACCGAGAATTCCCATCACCACCGCAAACCTCTTCGACTACCACCGATTCAACCAGAAGAGCTAGTTTCAGTCGGTTGGTGATTATGGATTCTCCACAGCAGGCTTCTGGTACAAATGTTTTGCTTTAATCTCACTTTTGTCACACTGTGTGGTGTCATTTATACTCATTTGCTATTGTTAGAATTAGTATATAAATAAAAAAAATTAACAGTGAAGAGTAGATATACTTGCCTATGTAGTCCATTGTGACTTATACTTAGATATTGCTATTTAAATAAAATAACTGCTAATATTATGTTTATAACTATAGTTTAATTGATGAATACGTAAATAAAAACAAGAGCTAGGAGTTTGAACTTCTATTTTGGCTATGGAGATTTTATACTAGTTATTGGTCACTTTTATTTTTGTATACGTAAATTTAGTGTTTGTAATATATTCAAGTTTATTAAAATATTTCAAAAATTAAACATTTTTAGGTTTGTTTGTATAAAGTTTGTTTGTATTGTTCTTTGGATTTGTATTTGCAAAATTGATCGCTTTTAGTTTAATCTCATTTTATAGTGATCGAGTAACAGTAATTCATTGATGTGAGTTATGCATAAGCTTGTTTAAGATACTGGGTAATTTTCACATTTTAAAATTAGAATTTTTTGCTGTTGCTGTGTAAGAGTTTTATTTGAGCTCACTTAATTTTTGTCCTTAGTGAATAATGAATTGTTTGCATGCTGTGTTTTATGGTTAGATATTTTTGTTTTTTAAAAGAATATTAATAGTTCTCGTATTGAAGGGTCTTATATACATTATATATATTAGTTGCGATTATTAATAGTTTGATATATTTACAAATTGCTGGATTCCTGAAAAGGTGTAAATTTTTCTCTCCATTTTTTTTTTAAATATGATCAATGGGCTAACTTATCAATAACAAAAATTAATTTAATTTATTGCCTTATTAATTAGTTGATTGACTGATTGATTAGTGGTTATGTTATCAATGTAATGCCTTTGTGACAGTTTTTGTTATAAATAATTGCCTTGGATATATATTATAATTTTTTTAATATTTATTATAAAGCATTATGAATAAAATATTTGAAACTCAAAGACTGAGGCATAAGCAAATATTTTTTTCATATTTCAGTTGAAAATATAAATAATGAATAATAATACATAATATAAAACTTAATTTTACTATTTCTTTTGTTCTGAAAACTAGAGGACATTAAAAAGAAGAGTAGTTAAGTTTTACACATCTGAAACTGTTGATTTATCAGCAATTTTATGTTCTCTGTCACTCCTTGTGTGCAACCTATTTAATTAATATTTTAATAACGCTAATCGCTCACTGGTTATATGAAATATATTGTAAGGAAAATTATTGCGATCATGAAAGTTTTTGAATCTGAGTTTTTAACTGAAATACACGTTTGAGGTCTCCTAAGTCCAAATAATCAAGTTTTGAATAATGGTTTGCGTTGCGTTCATTTCTTTGTTGTTTTTTTTTAAGAAATACATCCATCGGGGAAGAATGTAATTTATTATTTTATTAATTAAACCTCTAATGTTTTTGGAAATTTTTATGCTTATTGTTCATTCCTAATAGCAAAGTCTGCAGTTCTGGCTTATAACATTTTTTTTTCGCCTCTACTTTTATATATTTATTTTTATCTTTTTATTTATTATTAGAGAAACTCCAATGTTGTCTTAAAGTATTCAAGTAATAAATCACAGTTCGTACCCGATGCCTAATGCATTATGGCCTACAGATGGGGCTGAACAGTTTGGTTGGAATGATAGGCAGGCCGCAGGGAAGATGGAACAATAGTGGCACCTAGATAGGACGCGGACAATACTCTATTGGCAGAGGAAGCAGGTCGTTATCTGGGGGTCTTTGTCGCCCGGCGGGCCGATATGTGGCCAATGGTCACCATCCCCTTGGATCCTATCTTCATCGGTCACCGGGTCAAAAGGACTATCAAAGGCAGCAAAACATTCGTCGCGCCTCTTGGCTCGAGCGTTCTAACGTGTTTTTTCAACTTCTGTAGATAGCATATTTTATCAGTGATATTTATTAATTTTTTTAAATATTTTCAATAAAAAAAAGGTTGTATGTTAATTGATTATCTTACTAATTTATTACACCTTCATATCCCCTCTCAGGCCTTCAGAACTTGGTTTTCTATACGCCAAGAAACAATAATAGTTATCCATCTACCACAGGTGGATCTACGGGAGGGGAGGGAGAGCTTTCGGGATGAAGCCCCCTCCAAAATGGTAAAAGTAACCATGTTTTATGAAAAAAAGGAGCTTTAAAAGTATTATTGTTCGTTTAATTACACTTAATAGGACTTCAAGAATCACTTAAACACCATTTCATATAGGTACTTAGTTTCTTTCTGTTTCATCCAAAGTAATTATCGTAATATGTATATATATATATATGGAAAAAAAAATCCATTATTGCCATCTACTCTATATATATATATATATATATATATATATATATATATATATATATATATATATATAAACACCACAGGCGGATCTACGGGGGGGGGGAGGAGAGGGCTTTCGGGCTGAAGCTCCCAAAATGGTAAAATATACAGAAAAAAAATATTAAAAACAACCTCTTAAAGTATTCTTGTTCGTTTAATTGCGTTTAATAGAACTTCATGAACCACTTAAACACCATTTCATATAGGTAGTTAATTTCTTTCTTTTTTTAAAAAATTAATTATCGTTATATGTATATAATCCTCCCTTCCAAAATTAAATTCTGGATCCGCTAGTGTATAACACAGTATGATAGCTCCTTTTTTCGGCTCTCAGGAGCGATGGACTTTAATGAGTGAGGTATTATCAAAATTATCGAAAGAAAATGTCATGAAAAAGTCGCGATTCACAATTTCAATTCTTAAATTCCTTCAAGAAATTTAATAATTGATAAAATAGGAAGGTTCCAAACTGAATTTCTAGACGGAATAAATTGTGCTATAAAGATCACGAAACGGTCATCAAAACTCGGTTTAGTTAGTTCCAAAGGTACTATGTGGCCCTGCATTTTAAAGCCCCTAAATGTCCCGTTTTCGAGATAAATCGAGATTCTTGCAGAATTTTTCTTAGTTGCTATATTACCTTGGGATACGTTTTACGTGTTTAGGTTTTAAAAATTAAAATATTACTTTTTACTTTCACATACCTATATACGCAATATATAATGAGGGAAAGTATCGCGATCGTGAAATTTTTCGAATTTGAGTTTTCAACGAAAATACACGTTTTGAGGTCCTCCACAGGCGGATTTACGGGGAGGGAGGCTTTCTGGCTGATGCCTCTCCCAAAACAGTAAAATATAACCTTGTTTTACAGAAAAAAATATTAAAAACTTTCTCTTAAAGTATTATTGTTCGTGTAATTACATTTAATCGGACTTCAAGAATCACTTAAACACCTTTTCATATAGGTAGTTAATTTCTTTATTTAAAAAAAAAAAATAATTATCGTTATATATTTGAAAAAAAAAATCTTTCGGGCTGAAGCTCCTCTCAAAATTAAATCCTAGATCCGCTAGTGACGTCCAGTGAGTCCAAATAACCAAATCTAACAAAATGGTCTGTTTGCGAACAGTCTAGCTCAAAAAAGAAAAGTCGCACGAAACTGAAATTTCGTATTTAAAGTAGGTAGGTATATGGCGTGCCACTTATATCAACGATTTTTATTAAACTTAGTATATCAATGTACAATTATATTGTGTTTAGTATTAACTAGTTCTTTTTCTCATCATCTTACAGGGCTTAAGTGCCCAATGTTCAAAATATCTTCCTCTAAAGTTCCTTTAATTTCGTTTGTTTTAAATAATTAACTATCTCTCATTTTTAGCAGTAATAAGAAAAGGTTAAATATAACTTTTGGGAGAATTTGATAATTGACTATAGGAGTAAAAAGGAAAAATGTTTATTTAGTTCGAAAATGAATTTCCATAAATAACAGTCAGATGGTATAGGTATAATATATCGTTGGAAAGATGAGCAATTTATCTAATATAAATGTCCTAGAAGGCAATGGAGAGTGACGATAAAATTATAAGTAATAATTTCTGAAAAGTATTATATTTAAAGGAAACCACTTGTTACTTTTAAAATTATTTTTAAGTTTGAAAAACAATTTTTATTTCTTTATTGAGAAATATTACAATCTGTCACATCCGAGGATACTAGTAATAGTGGTAGAAGAATAGCTCATTCACACTCAATGTACAATAAATACAAATAAATTAAACAGCAAAATAATAATACTAAAAATAAGTGTATATTAACATAAAGAAACTAAACTATTAAAAAAAAAACAACTTAAATACAAGTATACTTTTATACAATATTTACAGAATTCATTCACTCAGGTGAACTCCGAGCCAAGCTTTTCCCTTCACTCGAGGAAGGAAAAGCAAGACTCCAGGAGATCCCAGCTCCTCTCACACAACCGCATTACGGGTATTAAAATCTATTATAAAATAAAATGGAATATTAATTGTGAAAAGAGAAAAACAAATATCTGATTATAAATGCGTTTTCGGACTTGAAAAAGCGTAAATCCGTTGAAAACTCACCATCGAAAATTTGATTCAATTACAATACTTTCCTTACCTACTTACGGTAAAAAATTAAAAATGTGCATACTTTAATAAAATAATAACTGTCTAATATCAAACATTGGATTATAATATATGTCTGACTTATATTACAAGTTTAACTTATGTGTATCTTACCTTATCAACGTGAATATCCTGTATTTTGTATTAGATGAACATTTTCCCCAAAAGTTTCGAAAATCCATTATTTGTTATGGTAACAGGTTTAGCAGAGTACTGTTGAGGAGAGAGCCGAACTAACAATGTAATAGCTTTTGCAGGTTTCCCCAGGGATACCAGTATGAATTATAGAGAAGCTATGAATTTCTGATTAACCGTTGAATGGATCTCTTATTGCAGGTCGTGGGATATGTACATTAGTAAAACAAAATAACATTTTAATGGCCTTACCTTGCGAGTTGTTTGTAGACTAGGCGATTTTTTTTTACTATTTTAATTATTCACTTACTTAACTACCCTGTACGTGACCTCGATGGAAAACTACTGCAAACCGAATATATAATAAATAAGTTTTCTATCGTTTAATCGATCATATTGTGCTTCTTCGCTATCGAAGAAGGGAGAGCTTTGGATACGTGCGGAAGGTCAATATTTTTGTTGACTTCAGAATCGAAAAATTGTCCACTCGCATATTACGTTTTAGACAGGAACAAATTTGACTCTGATCGTGTCTTAATCAAATCCATGTGAAGGATATTCCGTTCTACCATTAAATCAGATCTTCATGAAATTTTCAGAGATTGTTCGGGTTGGCGCCTAAATGGACTCATATAAATTTAATCAACTTTCATCTAATGTGCACTTTCGCTGAGGAACGCGTAAATCTATTTATTTTCATAGAATTGTATTTCATCAAGTCAGCTGTGGTGGTTCGAACTTGCAGGATGAGTCAGGATCCAGGCCCACGGAAAACGTTGGAGGTTCTGAAACGGAACCACAAGAGGGACAACCTTGCTTAAGAAATATTTCAACAGCAGCTCGTTAGATTTTGCCCCAAATTTGGGGGATGTTGGGGATCAGTGAAAACATTAAGCAGTATTATTTTTATCCAGTTCCGTCCAGTACTTACATCGATTTATTGCAAAAAGTCGCTACTTACATTTTAGATGAAGCTGAACTTCTAAGATCGTTTTTGTTACTTTGACACAGTTTATCCTAAAAACTGTGTTTATAAAAAACACAGTAAGGGCAATAAAATAGTTACAGCAACTGTACAACGGAAAAATTCATCCTTTGTTAGTGATATGCACTAACGTATTTTCTTTTATGTAATATGCCTATCTCTATAAAACTGCTCGTTTGATTTGGCCAAGAGTAGGAAGTGAGGAACTGTTTAAAAAATGATGCTGGCGGCATCAATTTTATGAAATCCCACTTGTTTCAAACAATACTTTCGCTACGGATGCGCAACGCATTTTCCTTTGACGAATATATATTTCAAAAAAAGGTTTGTTCGATTTGGACTAAATTAGAGAAATGCTAGAAATAATTGTAGAAATAGTGTAGTATCAAATTCAATAAAATTAATGCACACAATTTTTGAGAATATAATGGCTGTGAAATATGGCAGGTAGTGAACCTGTGGAAAGGGAGGTTCTAATTCATTCATTTTCCCTTTCAGGGGCGCTTGCCAATTGTTATAAATTAATAAAAAATACAAAACGTATTAAAATAATTTTAGCCTATTAATAAAGCAGCTGTATTAGAGAAATATTGAATGAAATAAAATTCAAATAGTACATAATTTAAAATAGTTTGAGAAATAAATTTAAGCTTATTGGGAGGAGATGATATAGCCCGGGGGGACGCCGAATGTCTAAAGCCAGGACTGTATTTTTCCATTATAAGACTATATTTCCAAATCGGCTCCTGAAGATTATATCTCTAACGACAAATCATAGACCTTGAAATGTAGAGAATAGAAGTGGTGAGGAAGCTATTCTGTTCCTATTCGGTTATGTAAATATAATGTTCCAGAGAATACTTACAATTTAAATAAAAAACCGCAATTCAGTTTTTAAATAATAAATTTGACAGTATCGATTCACTCGTGCCCTTGCCTGTCGGAGGTTTCCGTTTGCTATCTGATAAACTTCCCTTTCTTCTCCCAATTGCTCTCATTAAGTTTTCATAAAACTGTCCTGAACCATTGGGTTATCATTTAATAGAGTATAATAGTTTTACCGATAATATCAAAGGATGCTTTGATCGATTGTTGCTACCAAAATAATTTGACTCCGGGAAAATTGTAATAAAATGGATGATCCATTTGAGTCAATTTCAAACCTACCGAACGTTGTTGTCTCTGTTGTTATATGTGAAATCGATCCAATATTACAATTTTTAATTTATTAGTTATCTGTTTATTAGCCAACTCATGTGCTACAACAATGTTTTTAAG